AGTCAGGGGCGTACAATACATGTCCAACTTAGATACGAGGGTTATAACTCCACATCTTTCTGTTCAGCTCTGTAACGACCTATACCCTACCATGGTGAAGTCTACTACTTCTGGCTGGATCTCTGTTTCAACCCGGGTGCTTCAAGTCAAAACTCCGGCACCAATGGAGGTATCTAGTTCCTATAAACCCTCCGAAACCTTCACAACCTTGTACACAATGGAGGAGTTAGAAAACTGGGAGAGCTATCAGCAACTTCCCTCCTATGAAAAATCTCAACATCAGCGTCTGTTGAACATGCTCTGCAACGAAGAATCTTGTAGCTACGGAGGTCAGAGTGCTCTGTCCGGCATGAACCTCGAGGATTTCAAGAAACATATTCAAGAGGGAAGCGAGGCTATGCTCGCCTCCCTTAATCCTTTTGGCGCACTAGTGCGCGAGATCGAATATAAGAAGACATTTTTAAACACCATGCTACTGATAGAATACAGTGTTTTGACAGTATCCGTCGTGACAAGTACTTTTCTCTACGGAGCTACAGCAACGTTAGGAGCTCTGATCACGAGGATGACCCTGAACTGGGCTTTGCTCAAAAGTCGCAAGGTGCAGAGAATAGAACCCATCCAAATGGAACGTTTAGTCTCAAATGTTGGAAATCTGTAAGTGTCTAAATATCGTTGGATCAAGAACAAACAATAGTTTTCGACATCCCCCTGGGGGGGATTTTGTAACATATTCTGTATCAAGTATAATGCTATCTATGTTATCTGTAAATATCTTAATTATCTGTATGTTGACCCTGCCGGGATATATTCACCTGTTTATTCACCTGTATATAAATAAATTTAGTTCAATAGAATTCTTTGATTTATACAGACGTATACAGAACCTAGAGTTTGGCTGAGAGTATAGAGCCTTGAGTTTTGGCTAGAGATAGAGATAAATGAGTTCTCTTTAGACTTTGAGTATAGTAATCGCGTCTAGATTTGTTACAGCATATACATTTTGTATGAAAAAGTATAAAGAAACAAATCTCTAAGTCTAAATGCTGTTGAGTTATAGACGAAAACACGTTTGATTTCAAAGAAAAGAAACCGAATGCTTCTCTCTCTCTCTAGTTCAGGCTGGGAGGGGGAATCGGAATTTTAAAGAAAAAAAAACACCTTATTTTTACTATTATACTGGGTTGTCTTTTTAAAGTATTTACCGTAATCTTAGACTGGGCTAAACTGAAGTAATAATGTAATGTAAATTAAAGAAAAACAAATCAATGGAATGCAGGCAAAACTTTGTCCAAACATTGCAAAGAAGTATCTTTTATGATTTTGAGTAATCCTTGAAAAAATAGTGATTGATTTACGATAGTTGCAAGTATAGTGTTCTACAAATCTAAGATTAAATCGATAACCATTTAATTTTTTGACAATTGTTATACAAAATAAAATATAATTTGAAAAACCAAGCAGAATAAAACATAAAAAGTTAAAAATCAAATCAATCAAAAATATTATTATTTAATACAGAAACATCACATTAAAAAAAATTTATTAATTGTTTCATGCTCTTCGTCTGGCAAACTGTTATAACTGGTGCAGTTCCCTAGTTGCTCGAAAAAAAAGAAGTAACACATAGATACGGTTTTAACAATGTAGTGGGTGGTTTTGCTTGAGCAGGTGGATTTGATAGAAGAGAACAGGGACCTCTTAGCTTCAACTATATAGATTTGGAAATATTAATTAATCAGGACAACAAAAAATAACCATTCTATTAAATATATTATTCTTCTATGAATAACTGTTACCTCCAAAATGTTAGGTTAAATTGCTATAATTAGCCTTATTATAGACATTTATCTTATTGCATATACGGAGAACAGGTGCAAGATGGTAATTATACACGGGCATAATCTTTAGTCAGTCAACGTATCCACTAGCTGAGCATGGGACGACTCACACTAATTCTGTGCTGTCTTCTGGCTTTTCAAGTTTTGGTAACTCTTCAGCAAAAACAAGAACAGCAAGGTAATGGGAACGGAGTACAGGGAGGTGGAGGGGGAGGGATTCCTAAAAAACAATCCAGGGGAGGTAACGGTGGGCAAAGGAAAAAAAAGAAAACTATTAAGACCATAAGAAAATCTAAGAAAGTTGGAGGAAATAAAAATCAACTAAAGAAACTGAGGATAAAAAAGAAAATGAACAGATTGAGGCAAAGAAAAGCTAAAAAAGCAAAGAAAAGTGTGAAACAATCTTGCAGCGCTACTCAAATACCAGAAACAGAGTTTGTCGCTATGATTGAATGCTTGGAGTTTGAAAGGAATCAAATTAACAACTTTAAACAGCAAAGAAGTAGGATGGGTTCTCAAGTAAGAATCATCAATTCAAAAAGCGAGAAAAATACAGATTTCTTGGTTCCTGCAGAAAATCTAGGATTTGCTCTGAATGTAAATGAAACTGATCAATCAAATGCTACTTGTGGAGATGGTTTATCTACTGCTACTACTAGGGACGCAGGACCTGCTCTTGCTCTTTACTTGGGACTATTGAACTGTACAAATTCTTCAGTTCCGCTAAATTGTGATACCTCTTTGTACAATGATACTACAGAAGCTGTATTAGTGCAGTGTGAAACACTGATTCTTGATATGGCTCAGAAGAATATAGATTGTAGGAACCTAGCTATTGGTGAGGTAGGAACATGTTGGACCAATATTAAAACTGGAGTAATGCAGGAAATTCGAGATTTAAAATGCAACCAGTACACTGCCGCACTTTCAAGGGCAGTTGCAGATCAAAGAACAGCCTGTATTAATGCATTTGCAGCTTGCAAGAGATTTGAAGATGAAGCTGTGCTGTCCAGCAGTGAGTGTGCTAGAGGAACTGTCAAGACCATGGAGGAAATTAACAAACAAACCATTATTACGAAAGAAACCATTGGGTTAGGCTCTGCCAGAGCTTTGAATGAGGATGATGATGATGAAGATGATGACGAGTTCTATGACTATGATGACATTTTTCCTGACCTGGGAGTTTAATCAAAGTCTGATCCAATCATGTATTTAATCAGAATCAATAAAAAATTATAACAGGGTTTTAATAATTTGTTCTGGTAGGATTGGCAAGGTAGTATATCGGGGCCCCTAAAACTAAAATGCCAAATTAAATGAGGTAATATTGTTACTTCTTTGTTCTCCAGGGACCAGATCATCATGCTGTTGCCGTGAAACAAATAAGTTTCACTAAGGTTGATTTTCCAATCTGTACATGGTTTAAAGTTTTGAACAAATTAAAAATAAGGACTGCATTTTGTCAGTCTTACCCCCCCCCCCTGCATAGTAAGCCAGTATTTTCAATAAATGGCAAAACTATGTATAGCTAAAATTTATACAATTCCATCTGGAAGCTCTCCAATCGAAAAACTCCCATCTTCTATCATTTTATCTGAAATAAACGGAATATTTTAAGATTACTATTGCGAATTACTGTTGTTAACGCCGGACTAAATGGAAGTGAAGGCTTAAAGGCCTTACAGGGCCCGATGAAAACTTGGTGCCGCGCTCTGCTCGTCCACCGCTCCTTCACGAGCTCTCTATTCATTTTGCGCTCACTCGTACCAGGCGCGTTTTAAAGTTCAAAAGGGAATATACCTGACAATTTTAGATGAAGCTTATGTATCAAAAATTGCTGTACTTAGAGAAACGAATTTGCAGGATTGTAATCCGGCGCAGAATATACATACCATACATGTTTACAGGGGTTTCTGGGGCGAAGGAATTCATTTTCGGGGTCATTTTCTAAAATTGAAAAATTATAAAATCTGAAGAAAATAAATTAGATTTTTGAAAGAAAAAATTAGATTCTTGAAATATAAAAACATGTGTATCATAAAAATTAATTCTTAAAATGTAGGTGAATGGTGTTTTCAGATTTAAAAAATTCAAAAAAACGACAAAGTTTTCACGAAATTAGTGTTTTTGAAATGTCAATTTTAAGGAAAAGTTTAAATATAGGCGGGTCTCTTTTTTGGTGGGTTAAACCCCCCTTTTGGGTAGGAAGGGGGTGTAAATGTTTTCTTGTTTTTTATATTTATGGGAGAGATATTTAATGTTGGTTGAAGGTGCGCCAAAGAGGTTTTCTTCTCATGTAAATTTGAAATATCATAAAAATTCTATGCATTTTGAAATTTTTTTTATCAAAAATCTTTAAATAAAGTTTTTTTTCTCTTGTGCAAATTAATTGGTAACTAAGGGAGGATAAACAGAATGGTAGCTTAACAATGGTAAAAATAATCTTTACTTTATAATATTTTTACTTGTATATTTATTTACAAATTTTTAAAATCTGCATTTGCATTTTCTATGTGTAAATGGTCAAAAAGAGCCTAAAATATATCGTTGAGGCTATATATAAAGACAGTTTTGGAGTTCTCTCGATGTCTAGTTTTAGTAACAAACACTCCAAAAATATAAGTTGGTTTAAAAAGGTTTTAAATACCCCTGGCCCACTGTGCCCTGCTTAAAAAAATGTTTAAAGTTTATTATTCAGAGTTAATTTTGAATTTAAGAAAACCTGACATGTAAGAACTAACTAGGACATCATACTATTATATATACTGTTAAACCTTAGGTCTAACTAAATGATACATGGTGGGGGTTGAAAAATGTTTATTGGTAAAAACTTGTTACGGAATATATAGGAGTGTTTTTACTGTGTAGTTTATATCCCAACAGAGCAATTGTCTGAATTTTTGGAAACCCACTTTCTTTTGCCAAACAAATTTCAAACCATAATCCTGCTTTGCTGTCTGTCAACAGTTGTTTTTGCACATTTGTAAAATAACAATCTTTAGAGATAATGTTGCGGTATACATAATAAGGTTTATTAAGGGGTGCCACCCATGTATACAAGTTGTTTTTTGTTCCAATAAGCATGGACATACCAAGAAAGAAATGAGTATTTCTCCACCCCCCTTCAACCATATTGAAGGAAGTGAATCAACTGCTAAATAAACTCTAAAATTGGTATTTCAAATGTGCTCATTTCAATTATAATTAGACGGGTGTGACAGCATGTGGAATCTCTGGTATGTAATGATGGAGCAGGATAACGGGAACAAGAACTCGAACTTAAATCTTCCACAGGTTCAAAAAGATCTGCAGGTCAGGGGTATAACAAGAGTTAAACAGGTGGTAGGCAAACAGGCTTAAACAACGATAGGTAACTGGGAACAGGTTCGCGCCCCACCATTTGTTAAACCTTAGGTCTAATTAAATGATACATGGTGGTGGTTGAAAAATGTTTATTGGTAAAAACTTGTTACAGAATATATAGGAGTGTTTTTACTGTGTAGTTAGTTTCTGTGGGGGAATTTAGGGAGCTTCTAAACTGCTGGAATTGATGAGTCTTCAGAACACGGAGCAGTCTGGAGCAGAACTGTAGAATGCTGCTTCTGTAGGGAACTGCTTTAAGCTGTAGGTGTAGATGAACCTTTAGAGCTGTCTGGAGCAGAACCGTAGAAGGCTGCTTCTGTAGGGAACTGCTTTAAGCTGTAGGTGTAGATGAACCTTTAGAGCTGTCTGGAGCAGAACCGTAGAAGGCTGCTTCTGTAGGGAGCTGCTTGAAACTGCAGGCGTAGATGAACTTTCTGGTCCAGGACTTGGTCAGAAAATGATAACTCTATTCTGATTTTAGAATATCAATAAAATCCCCTTTTGATGGTACAGAGTTGGTTTAGAACTCCGGAGCTGCTCAAGGATTAGCTACAACTGATAATATCATCTTTCCAAGACTTCAACGTTAGGTTCAAGGCGTAGCCTTAACCTTGAGTCTATACTTAAAAATACACAGTGCTCACAGGATGTTCACAAAAAATACAAACATATAAATACATTTTAACTATTCATAAAAGCACAAATATCAATTCTTAAAGAATCTGTTACATTCGTTTGTGAATTTTACAAAAAAGGAGTTTTAGTTTATGTAAACACCCAGCAGAGTTCCCATATACAGAAATAATTGATTCCAACCATGATCTGACATTCTTTGTTAAAAATACGCACTTTAAACTCCTTTACAATACTTATACTAATATATATTAATTATAGTATCAACTGATTCACTACATAATATATTAATTATAGTATCATCCGATTCACAACATAATATATTAATTATAGTATCAACGGATTCACAACATAATTTATTAATTATAGTATCAAGGGATTCACAACATGATATTAATTATAGTATTAACCGATTCACAACATAATTTATTAATTATAGTATCAACCGATTCACAACATAATTTATTAATTATAGTATCAACCGATTCACAACATAATTTATTAATTATAGTATCAACCGATTCACCACAACATGATATTAATTATAGTATTAACCAATTCACAACATAATATGTTAATTATAGTATTTACCGATTCACAACATAATATATTAATTATAGTATCAACCAATTCACAACATAATTTATTAATTATAGTATCAACCGATTCACAACATGATATATGAATTATAGTATCAACCGATTCACAACATAATATATTAATTAGAGTATCAACTGATTCACAACATTATATATTGATTATAGTATCAACCGATTCACAACATAATATATTAATTATAGTATCAACCGATTCACAACATATTTTATTAATTATTGTATCAACCGATTTACAACATAATTTATTAATTATAGTATCAACCGATTCACAACATGATATATTAATTATAGTATCAACCGATTCACAACATAATATAATAATTATAGTATCAACCGATTCACAACATAATATATTAATTAGAGTATCAACTGATTCACAACATTATATATTGATTATAGTATCAACCGATTCACAACATGATATATTAATTATAGTATTAACCGATTCACAACATAATATGTTAATTATAGTATTTACCGATTCACAACATAATATATTAATTAGAGTATCAACCGATTCACAACATATTATATTAATTATAGTATCAACCGATTCACAACATAATATATAAATTATAGTATTAACCGATTCATAACATAATATATTAATTATAGTATCAACTGATTCACAACATAATATATTAATTATAGTATCAACCGATTCATAAATTCAATAGTTTCTCATTTGAATAGATTGATAGATGGATAATTTTATAGAAATGATTTTAGTGCAAAATTGGACGTTTGTAAAATCACCTTAATCAAAATATCATCTGTAGAAAAATAGATTAATTAAATCTATTGTAAAAAGATTACATTACCCTCAGAGAAATTAGAAATTCATCAATTGAAACCTTTCCACTTCCATCTTGGTCAAACTGTTGAAACATTGCCTAAAATAATATACATATACTTTCCATTGCCATCTTGGAAAAAATGTTTGAATATTGCCTTAAAATAATATACATATATTTTCCACTGCCATCTTGGTCAAACTGTTGAAACATTGCCTCAAAATAATATACATATACTTTCCACTGCCATCTTGGTCAAACTGTTGAAACATTGCCTGAAATAATATACATATACTTTCCACTGCCATCTTAGTCAAACTGTTGGAAAATTGCCTTGAGAAATATTTATGCAGTCGTCGTCGCATATTTTAATACAATGAAGACGACTTTCGATTTAATTTTTTGACTTATTTTATTAAAGCCTTTAAACATCATGGATACACATTACACATAAACAATGAAACAAATCAAAACTGTCAATTAAACAAACTTCTCGTTAATTACATGTAAACTTGTAATCAGAAAAAAACTTGTTAATAATCAAAACTAGCTGTTTATATCTATAGCTGATCCTGTTTATATCTATACCGGGAGCTGATCTAGTATATATCTATACCTTAAGCTGATCCTGTTTATATCTATACCTGAAGCTGATCCTGTTTATATCTATACCTGGAGCTGATCCTGTTTATATATATACCTGGAGCTGAACCTGTTTTTATCTATATCTGGCGCTGATCCTGTTTATATCTATACCTGGAGCTGATCCTGTTTATATCTATACCTGGAGCTGATCCTGTTTATATCTATACCTGGAGCTGATCCTGTTTATATCTATAACTGGAGCTGAACCTGTTTATATCTATACCTGGAGCTGATCCTGTTTATATCTATATCTGGAGCTGATCTTGCTTATATCTATACCTGGAGCTGATCATCTGGTAGTTTAAGACCACTGTCATGAACTCCTTTCTTAAACTCCTCTATATCTAGAGACCCTGATCTATTATCATCGATTCGTCGAAACATTCTGAACAAAGAGATCTATGACTAAATGAAACTGCTTTTGTATTAGAACAATCGGTTTTTCTTCGGAACTTTATAATTAAAATTTCTTGATTCCCTGAAAAAGAGAATAATAGAGATAGAATACAAAATAATAATAATGAAATAATGCTACAGTAAAAATTTTAGTATGATAACCCTCTTCCTTTGACACACAGGGGGTTAGCGACAGTCGAAGAGAAGAACTAATCGTGTAGACAATTCCTATTCTCTAGATTTATTAATCAATTTATGAATTACCTTCCTATTCCAACTATCCCCGCATTTCCTCTGCTCAGGCAGAGACATCTAGTGTTGAACAAAATAAAAGTTAAAGGAACTGAGTTTCTGCTAGAAACTCAAATTTGTATAATCCATATATCTTTGCAACCTGATAGTGTATACTTTGAATATTTAAAGATAGACTTATTGATCAAACATAGTTCGTAGTTTGAAATATCAAAGGTCTACGACATCAGGTTGCAAACATATAGTGTGCCCGGGCTATATGAAAATATTAACATTGCCAATCAAAATCTAATAAACAAAGCCAAATGAACCTAACTACTGAAATATTCATAACAAAAAAGTTAAAAGACGCAATCTGAAAAACTGCATTGCTTTGGGTTGAAAATGAAGACTTATTGACCAGATAACTGGAGCGAACGAAAGATCTTTAAAATGCTTTGAAAGCACAAGCAGGTTGAACATGGTAGAAGATACAGAGTTCATGTTTTCATTCATCTTGACTACTCAGATTAAGTATTTTTTTCAATTATTTATTTTTAATTATTTAATAGTTCAATTATTAAGTATTAAGTAGTTGTAACTTTTAATCAATAAACAGTTTTTACTATTATTTGCAGAAAAAAAACTCATTTTCTTTTAAAATCATCGTGTGCTAACCTGAGTTTTTCTATTGGATCGGTCGTCCTCTCAAGATCCTTTTTTGCCTTGTCAATCATCTGGGATTCCATCCTTTCTCCAGCTGTCTATCCTCATAACCGACAGATCTTGTTACTTTAACAAAACTAAGTATATATCATTGGCTTGTACATGTCAAAGCTGATGAGCCGATCTGACCCAGTTTTTTGTGGTTACTCACATGAATTTAAAAGAGAACAGAAAAATCCATGTAATTTTTTTTATCATTATTAAAGTTAGGAAGAAAAAGGCTTGCATGTAATGTGTAGAAAGATCAGTAATAAAAAGATTAAATTATTGTAATTCAGACAAATTTCAAGTTTCCAAGTTTCAACCTTTGTAGGCAACCTAATTGTATCTAAATTGATTTTAAGACTGGAAAGGGTATCCTGTAAACCTGTAAACCTGTAAACCTGTAAACCTGTAAACCCCTGTAAACCTGTAAACCTGTAAACCTGTAAACCTGTAAACCCTGTAAACCTGTAAACCCAGTAAACATCAATCTGAGTAAAACTGAAGAAGATATCACAGTTCTTCCGTTTTGAAAATTTTTAATTCTCATAATTTTGTGCAATGTCTCTTTTCAGCATAAATTCGCAAATCAGACATAAATAATAAGGATATCTGGTCCCTAATCAAACAAGGGTTTAAATGGTACCGTTGTGAATTGGCCATGCCACTCCATAAATTAAAGGTCATTTGATTTTACGTCCTAGAGTCCCTTAAATTAATTACATTTTATTAGTTTTCTTTGAAAGGGTTATAAAATAATCAAAATTTTTTTGATAAACTTAAAGTTTTTCATCTGACTGTTTTCCTTAGGTCTCATTTTCTTCTTTTGATTCTGAAACAAAATTAAATCTGAAACCTTGAAACAAAATTAAATTATTATTTTTTTCAGAAATCTTTTTGAATTTTTCGCTTAATGAAATAAAAACCCATTTATTTTAGCTTTACAAGTAAAATCGAGGCATCATTTCTCCACTTTTTAGAAATGCAAGTTTTTTACTTTCTGGAGATTAAAAAATCTGAATAGTTTAACATATTTCCGCACTGTATGCTCGTAATGTTTGCTTTTTAGGAAACCCAGCTTAACCTCCAGGCCGGAAATTTAACTTTCCCTACAAGATTAATTTAGATTTAAAACCAAGCAAAAACGTCCCCAATGGTCTGATCGAGTTCTCAAATTAAAATTAAAGGCAAATCTCTCCAGAGGTTCATGAGTTATGATCCGACATACAATCAAAAACAGATTACTACTTGATATGTATATATATATATATATAAAGTAAATGCCGTACTTTTAAAAGTTAGTCCCATAGACTGTATCAGTCCAGGTTCAACCAGTCGACAATCCAATTCGAACAGGACACGACCCACACGGCTACAATCCCGGGAACTATCAACGCCACAACCTGGGCGCGATCTCGTTAGCTATCAGTGTCAATACAAACACTAGCAATCAATTGATCAATGTCTCAAACAGGACACGACCCACACGGCTACACTCCCATGACTTATCAACGCCACAACCTGGCACGATCTCTTTAGCTATCAGTGTCAATACAGACACTAGCAATCAATTGATCAATGTCTCAAACAGGACACGATCCACACGGCTACAATCCCATGACTTATCAATGCCACAACCTGGGTGCGATCTCTTTAGCTATCGGTGTCAATACAGACACTAGCAATCAATTAATCAATGTCTCAATCAGGACATGATCCACATTCCGCACGGCTATAATCATGTGACTATCAAATAAATCAACCCCAATACTCAAGGTATGATCTCAATTTGTATGCTTCAACGAAACCCAAATTACTCTACACAGTAATCAAAGCGTAGTTCTGGTTATAACTGATGTCTATTTCTAAATCTCCATGTTAAATGTAAGTTCCAATACGCATTCGCAATATTACTCATGTATATAATCTAATCACAATGCGTAGCTAACAGAATCGCATTATAAGTTTTACGTAGTTAAGGATTAACGCAGTTAGATCCTTAAACATTGTACAGCGCATTTATATATATATATATATACATATATATATTTAGGTATGTTCAAACCACATTTATTACATAGATATAGGTGCAAACACTGACAGAAGATTTAAAATTTGGTATTGATGATGGACCAAACCTCATAGAATTAATAAAGTTGATGAGTGTTACAGTCGGCTAAAATTTTAAGTAGAATTGTAACTAATTTACCCCTTTGATTAATGTATAATCAAAGGGATCAATTCAACGAGACAGAGGCGTATTTAGGGGGTGGGGCTATGGGGGCTTAGCCCCCCTGGACCATTGAAATCTATTGATTTCAGGGGGTTTTCAGGCCCCAGCGGGTGCTGAGCCCCCCCCCCCTCTGTAAAGAAAAAAAATTTAAGCCCCCCCCCTGGACAAATTCCTGAATACGCCTCTGAACGAGGATATAGTGCATAGAGTGATGATGTACGCTAATTCTTTACTAATTTTATAGGCCATAAACTATACCGAGAGCGTACTGCATATTTGTTTATTAAAAGTTGATTTTGGCATAACTCATAGTATATCAATATTAGTAAACAGTTGTAAGTGTACAGTACAGCTAACTGAGCACACAGGTAGAGAGTTATCATCCCACCTGGATAAATTAGTTACAATTCATACAGAGAAAGGGAGAGGAAGGAGGGGGGCAAACTTGAAAAGAATAAAGTAACCATTAGTCATTGCCACAAACTAAATTGTTATAATCCCTATATGTTTGCAACCTGATAGTGGAAACCTTTGATATTTAAATTATTTGATTTACCAGAATTCATATAGTTTGAAATATCAAAGGTCTACAACATCGGGTTTCTAAGATATATAGTTTAATTGTGGCAAAAATCAGTTCCATTTGTATTGTGTCAGTCGCATATGTTAATATGGAGTCTTTTGTAAGCCACATAACCATAAATGTTTCAAGAAAAAACTTTGCCCCGTTCATCGGTAAAATACCTAAAATATGAATAATACTTGAAAGGGCTATAAGAGCTATAAGCGTAATTTCAGGTGACCCTCAATACAAAGATGGCAATACCTGATTCGGAACCAGTACAAACGTCGGACCCAAAAACGTCGGACGTTAAAAAGGTCGGATAGTACAAACGTTGAACTTACAAACCTCGGACTAGTACGAACGTCGGAATGGTACATTTATAAAGAAAAACGTCGGACTTTGGTTGGGTTTAAAAAAAAGACCATCGCTAAAAGAAATAAATTAAAAGTCACTCCCTTATTGGGATAAAAATCAAAGATAACTGAATAAAGTCTCACTCTCAACCCTGTGAAGATATCACTGCATAAAAATAACAAACCAAAAAGGAGTTGAGTTCTTGTCACAAACTCTGATGTTTCAATATATCTCTGCAACCCAATGTCGTAAAACCTTTAATATTTCAACCTATGACATCTAGAAGATCAAACAGTTTAAGTTTGAAAGTATACAAATGATAATACAACCAGGTTCCAAAGATATAGGGATGAGAATATTGAGTTAGTGGCAAGAACTCAGTTCCTTTGGGTAGATTTTAATTAGACCATTCGATATAAGGAAATGGGGTTTTAAAAAAATCTAATTTTAAAAAAAAATCGTTTTCTTAGTCCGACGTTTGTAATGGTCTGAAGTTTTTACTGGTCCGACGTTTGTATTGTCCGGTGTTAGTACCAGTCCGACGTTAGTACTTGTCCGACATTTGTAAGTCTTAGGTTTGTAACGTCCGACGTTTGTTGGTCCGACGTTTGTACTGGTCCCCTGATTCTCAACGGTATGCTCAAATTCTTTATAGATCAATTATTGATTATAAATCCATGTTTTTTATAATAATTTTTAAAACTGATTATTTTTAATTGTGGTTTCTCTACACAATTGGATTGGATATTTCTATTGGAAGAAAACATTAGGAATTATCAGAATTAAAGACTTTTAAACCTAGAAAAACAACAATATCTTCCACATTATTGATTAGATAACGGTTACAAGGGTACCGTTGTGACTCATCATACCCATCTTTTCAAGAAGGGTTACTTGAAATTACGCTTACTGGGTGAAAACAGAGTTATGCCATTTCTTCTAAATAATTGTTCCTCTAATCTTTATTCTGTTATCTCAGTTTCTTCGAACTTGAACACTTGAACCAACATCAAAGAAACGAAAATGCAAACATCAAAACTTTTAAATTGGAATTAAAGCAATTCAAAATCCTGGTTTCCATGAACAGCGAGAAGTAGTTGTACTATAAATGGCAAGTCCAATTTCTCCATAGAGTAAAACAAAAGTAAAAAGCTGAATTCCTTAAAAATAGGAATGCAAAATTTTTAACATTACTCTAAGAAAATGTTGGAGCACCAGAACCAAAATCAACTTAGCAACTCGATTCCTCAATGATGAATGATGCTGCTCAGTTGAATTAGGCTCCAGTGCTCCAATACATTGTTTTCCCATAACAATTTGATATTACTTTGTGATTTGTTTGAACCAAACGAGCTACAGATGTGTAAGCCACGTTTTTGTGAATTTTTCAACGATTATACAACGTGCTGTTGTTGTCCAATGAGTTTCTTTCGAGAAGGAACAAACGTTATTCCCATGTTAAATAATAACATGTTTTGTATGTTCTCTGATATAAACTGTAGTTTATCAGTATATCCTTGAACCACCTGCCTAGTACCTCTGTCCTTTATATTATACTGGTAATCAATAATTTCATGGTTTGCTCTTCATTCCATAAAAACAATTTGCTAGAATTGAACGAAAAAGTTTACTAATCATCTCTCAGAACTATTACATATATATATTACATTAAAGATTTAGGGGAAAAATCTAAAGAGACAGGGGTGTATATTTTCTCGAAAAATCCTTCCCCCCCCCGGCCCTTTTGAAAATAATTTTTACCCCAGAAACTTTGTTCACTGAATTGGGGAAAATAAATTATTTTAAGGGGGGGGATGAATTTTGGAGTAAAAGTATTAAAAAGAATGAAAAACTTGCCTGTTATGACCCATTTTTTCATTCATTTGCCGAATTTAACTTCAGCCAATAGCAGTGCAGTATCGTTGTTACGTGATACAGACGGAAATCACGTGATCAGTATACTGCACTGACATTGGCTGAAGTTCTGGTGACGTAATACAGACTATACGGACTATATGTAATAATTAGAAATGCAAAAAAAATACATTAGGAGCAAATATGAGATTCTCAGGCTCCTGTGGGATATCGTTGTTTTCAGATTGGTTGCGTATTTGTTGATTATGATCTGTTTAAACCTACTATTTTATTACAAAATTACATATGAATTTTCGTATAAATTTGACACAGTTTTATATAAATCTTGAGACAGGAAAAACAGGTCTTATATGTATCGTTCAACGCCTGAGATTCTCAGGTTTCAGTCTACACCCCATTTCATTTTTCATTTATAGTCACTTTAATGCCACTTAAAATAACACCTGCAGTCTCTTTGAGAATAAGAGCAAAGTAATTTGATAAATACAAAAAAGCTAAAAAATCAGAGCAATGACAGCGGCAGGTGAAAACTGAGGCTTGAAGCACAAAAATCCAGCTTTTTGTCAAAATACAATACAGCTTTACTTTTTCTTTGTTTAGATTATTACAATAATTTTATAAAAACTTCAAAATAAATTATTCTAAGGATTTTATAAAACACTAGTAACCTTTTTATCAAAAAGCATTAGAGCTAACAAAGTTTCAAACTTTCTAATATATCAATATGAAATTTGAACAAAAGTTTAAGAGCAAAAATATCAATAATAATTCATTTTAATCATTTTAAAATAAATCTTGAAAATGAAGAGCTTTTATTTTATAATATCAATAAATATCATGTGTTTGGGTTGAATTTTGATTTTATTTTATTATCATCATTGTTTGATAAGAGAGTAATTACACCAAACACATATTCACTTTTAAAAATATGAACTCTGAAAGATCAAATAATAAATAAGTTTGAAATATCAAAGGTTTACACCAGCAGGTTTCAAAGATTCAGGGTTTAGAATATTTGAGTTTGTGGCAAATACTCAATTCCTTTATTAAGTTACTAGCCTTAGAGGGCGCTTCGCGCCCATCTTCTAAATTAGTTGTGAACATGTTCTCTTTGTGTACATCGTAAAACAAAACAAAAATAATTCGCGGATTTTTACAAAAAAATTTCGCGGATTTTCAAAATTTTTAAAAATTTAATGACGATCGAATTTTGATAGAGACAAATATTTGAAATTTTGATGATTCATAAACCTTCCCTGGAGTCCCTAGATGTCCCACAAAAAATTTGGGCCCGATCGGTTCAGCCGTTTTGACGTTTATTGGATACAAACAAACAAACAAACAGACAAACAGACAAGCCAAATTTATATATAGATAGCTATTTGATTTTCACTGAAGAAGAATGGGTTCATGTT